ACTTACTAAAAAATGTTGAATTGGACTAAGATTATTTTAAATTTATAATTAAAAAATTTATGAAGAGTTAGAGTTTCATTAACCACTATAAATAGCAATTTTTAATTACCTTTAATCTTAATAGATAATTTAATTAAAATCACTTTAACTCTAATTAAATTTCTAAAAACTGATTCACCATTCGAAACCTAATAAAAAACTTGTCTTTTTCTTCCCAATTTTCTTTTGTTTCTTTCACGCTAACAACCAACCCTGAGTTCTTCTTTCTCGCGGACAACTCTACTCTGAGAGTTATCCTTCTCTCGAGCAAAGGCAGAAGCCTTGTGGCGGCAAAGACGACAAAGATGCGGGAGCGCGACGCAAACGACGTTTTTGTCTTCTATGGTGGTTGGCGGTATGTTCGCGAGGGACCGCATGAGGAGATCATGTCGAAGAAGGTCGTGGTGGCTCACGGTGGAATGATTTGGCGAGTACTGTGGCGGAATCGCGAGGCCCTTCGTGGCGCAAGGAAAACCCTCTTCTTCTTCTCTCTGTTTTAGGTTGTTTCGCAGGGAAGCGCAGACACAACCTTTTCGCGGCGCAGTGGTCACGGCAGATGCGAGTTGTTTCTTGACCACTTTTTTCTTTCTGACATGAAAATTAACTTCTCCACTTCTAAATAAATGAAATTTTTTGACAAATTTTTGGTATTTTGGAGAATGATTAAGAACTTGTGAAACGTAAACTCCACCATAGATTTAAATAGAATAATCTTCTAGGACATGCAACTTACTTTTTATTTGGGTGGCGACAGATACCTCTACTTTCGAAGACAACGAAGCAGATTGAGGCTCGTTGTTTTACTTTTGAATAGGCACAATCTCAAAACTCCTTATAATAAGCCTTAACAACATGTTCAATCTAATTTTTTTTGTCACAATTTAACCTCACTGCCGATAAAGAATTATACCGACATAACGTTATTTAGTTTTGTCAGGACCAACTCCGGACCAACTGCACCGTGTTATTTTTAACGTAGTTTAGCAAAATATTAACTTGACCCGTGTTTTTTTTCCAAAAGTTGGGATCATTTTCTTACTTTTAATAAAGAATAGGACCATTTTGGACACAATTCTAAATTCTAACTCCGAAGGACAAAAACAGGGTAGTAAGTTTTAAAAAAATGATTCATACTTATTAAGAAAAGAGTTTAATTTATTGTATAAATTGTTATTTTTTTTCTCTTTCCTCTTTCGCCCTGTTTTTCCTTGTCTGCTCCGAGAGGCGCCACGGTTTAAGTTTTTTAAAACTAGACTCTTTTTTCACTATTCACAAGAGAGAGAAAATAATTAATTGATAGTATTTGTTATTTGTTGTCTAAAATAATGAACTTTATATTGATTAAAAAAATTAGAAATAGTTTTGGTGAAAAAAATTAAAACAATATCTTGTATTTAGAGGCCAGAAGAATAGTGTAGCCGAACCACTCGATACGGGCCTTAGCAAGCCTTTCTAGGTCCAGGGTTTCTACCCTCTTGTTCTTTTATGATTTAAAATATTTGCATGTTTTATCCTGTATCTTCAATACTTCATCTACACTTCCAAATTTTTCAAACATTTCTATTTTAATTTTAGTAATTTTTTTCTTTTTTATTAAAGTAACCCTGCACCCTTTTAACCATCCACCATTTTAACTAAAAATTTTCACATTTTGTTTTTATTTATAATTTATTTAAAAATATATATTATTTAAATATAGTTTCATATTTAAATAATTATTAAATATAACTTTGTCCTCTCTCTCTTCCCCCCCTTCCCCTTCTTCCCTCCCCGTCCTCCTCCTTTCTCGTCGTTTTTTCCTCTTTCTTCGCTTTCTTTTTTATTATCTGACCTTTTTGCTTCCTTTTCTCCCTGTTCCCTTCCTCCTTTACTCCTGTTGTTTCCCCCCTCCGTTGTCTGCTTTCTTCCCTTTCCTGGCCTCCCCTGGCTCCCCACCTCCCCCTCGCGGGCCCCCCTTCTCCCCTGATCTGCCACATGTTGCCCTCGCGCATTTCGCCTCTCCAATCTGCCTGTTGTGGTGTTTTCCAATGTGATAGTTGTGGCAAAAAAAAAATTTAGAGTTCGATATCTTTAAAAATTTGTGCTTGGCATCAGATGTTTGCTTGTTAAGTATTTTTTTAATATATTATTTACTGTTTGTTACATTGTATTATTTAATGTTTCATTAGATTACATTATATGTTTTTAAAAATTATGTTTCCATATTAAATCTCTGTTTGTTTAAAATGTTTAAAATTTTTTATTATATTATTTTCAAATTTCTGATTCCGTTTTTTTTAAATATTTTATTATATTATTTTAAAATTTAAAGGTTTATTTATTTTAAAGATAAAAGTTTATCAAACCTCTAACTTAATGGGATAGAAGTTATGAAGCCCATTGGACCTAATTTGGACCCAGAATTCTGACTACACTTCCTTGAGGGTTACTCCCTACACCATCCCACTTTGTTCCCAGTACCACCACATTTTTTTAAAATTTCAAAACTATCCTTTATATTTTAAAATATCCTACACTCCACCTCTTTTCTTCAACGGATGTCAACATCCGTTGAAAAAAAATTCTTCCACGAACGTGCCACATTTCGTTAACGGATTGGTGCCTTTTTTTGATTTTTTAGTTTTTAGTTTTTTTTTTTTAAATTAATATATAAATGTTATTTAATTATTTTAAAATTATTACTTAATTATTTATAAATTAATTTTATTTTATTTAATAACCTCCCTCTTCTTCCTTTCCGTTCTGTCTCTTCTTTCCACCTCCTCCTCCCCCTTTCTTCCTCCCTCTTCCCCCGGCTGTGCCCCCTCCGTTCATGGCTGTGGCGACCCTCCGTTTTGTGTTTTTTTTGTTTTTTCGTTTCGTTTTTTTGTTTTCCCTTCTCTCCTCCTTCTCCTTTCATCCTTCTTTTGCCCTTTCTTCCTCTCCTTCTTTCTCCTTTCCTTTTCTTTGTCTTTCCTCCCTCCCTTCTTCTTCCTTTCCTTTCCTGTCCTTCTTCTTTACCTCCATCCTTCCCTTTTTTTTCTCCCTCTCTTCCCCCGGCTCTCCCCCTCCGTTCCCTTTTTTTTGTTCTGGGGCCGGGGGGCTCGGGGGAGGACCCGGGTAGCGCGGGGCCACGGCCGCGCGCCCGCGGGGGGCCGGGGGGCCCCGGCGGCTGCCGGCGGGCGCCCGTCCGGGGCGGGGCGGGCCGCCCCTCCGGCGGCGGCGGGGCCCGGCGCGCGGCTGCTGGCCCGCCGCCCCGCCCCCCCTGGGGCCCCCCGGGCGGCCCGGCGGGGCCCCCGCCGGGAGTGCCGGGGGGGGGCGGCCCGACCGCCGCCCCGCCACTCGCCATCGGGGCCCGGGCGGTTAGCCGGGGGCGCGCAAGAGCAAATAAGGTATGAGAAGGTACAGGGAGCGATTGGTGGTGGTGCAGGGAGCAACTCTCCACTTCCTTTCATTAACAGAACTGTGGTTAACCAAGCAATTGATGTCATACCAGAGCAATTTTATCTTACAGTTTTATTTTGAGCTCAAAATTTCTCTTCCTGGAGTTGAAATGCCATTTTTAAATCTGTTAATTTGATTTGCAATTTTTAAAATTAAAAAAACAATTGTGTGAAAAAGTTAGGTTACTTTATTTTTGTTTTCCGCTTGGCACCCTTTAAGTAAATAAATATTTTAATTTTCCAGCGATTACCCAGTTTTTTTTTTTCAATTCATCATTATAATTTTCATAATAAATCTATATAAATTGCAACTTTCTAAAAATTTTTTTTTTGAAATCCGATGTGAACAATATTAGATGAATGTAACTCGTACAGCTTATTCATCAAAGGATTGCGGTGTACGTGCCAAAGGTCAACTCCTTCTCTGGACCTACAAGAAACATGGGTTCATACAAATCATTAGATTAAAAATTAACATGAGGCATCATCATTGATAAATACTAAACCAATTTTTACATCACATTTGTTCAAACTTTTAAATTTACGAAAAAAAAGAATCAATAACATGGAACTATATATGGTGTAAAAATTAGCAAGAACCACGATGATCGTCACCACCAATATAGTTTCGATCTGCTTCCTTTATCTTCAGGTCTTAGAAGTGACGATGGAGTTTCGTGTGTCTCTTTTATTGAGTTTGAGCACCTTTGACCAAAACCCATCTTTCTTCCTTCCACTCACATCCCTCTCTCTCCCTCTACTCTTCGAAGCAAACGCAAGCGACTTGCTCTTCTTCAAGTTCAAACCCTGCACGCTCGAACCAGATTCCGCCGCCACCAGCGAAGCGTTTCGCCGGAACCGTGGTTTACGGTGGCCACCACCCCGACTTGAAGAAAAAGATTGATGAGGAGAAGCAGGCGATTGTGGAGAAAAACAAAGAGGTTCAATAATAGGGTTGGTGCTGTACAACTGCGAGAGTTTTTCCCTCAAACAAGAGGAACAAACACCAGGTGATTGCTTATCGTGTGGGTGCTCCTTGCACCCTCCTCTTCTTGTTTCAAACACCATTTCGCAACGTTTCATCACTTTCCTCTCCCTTCCAATTTGTGGAATCCTACATTACCTGCATCTGCGTTGCATTATTTATAAGGGAAATTCAGTGGTCAAAGATGCAATGTATAGTATTCCATACCTAATACACAACACGTGCACGGATTTGTAGTCGCGTACGACGAAAGTTCCTTCTCACGTTGGTTTTCTTAAATATTATTCTTAGCAAGAAAATATGTCAACATTTTTGTTTTTGGTAAACCAATAAGGTCAAACGAAAATTATTGTTGTCTGTATTAAAAAACTTAGGTCGTTGGTATTAAGAATTGTATATGTGAGAACGAGATTGTTGTGTTCGACCGTGTTGAATGTAATCCATCTTCTCGATGTGTCTATTAAGAGCTAATATATTGGTCCAATGGGTCACTGAAAATGACGTGCAACTGTGAGTAGTTTCGGTTCTGTCAATGTTTGTTGTTTTCTTACTATTGTAGCTGCTCAATGTAGCTTGGAAATGTATATCATGGTTGTTTGTTTGTCGTAAATTTTCTGTTCATAAGATCTGAACTTAACGCAAATGGGTCGGCTGAATATGGCTATTTACTTCTTGATATGTACAATATGTTCTGTTTGGTTAGATTTTGTGATTTATGTTTCAACTGGGATGCTGATTTATTTTGTCACGTATTCATCTTCACTTACATGCAGAGCTGAATGTGGAATCTAAAGTCAGGGGAGCTTTCTTTTATTTTGTCTAAGTAGTGATTTTCAGTTATTGTGTATCACTTGCTACCGAATCAATGTATAAAAACATTAAAATAGAAGTTTTCATTTTAAATATAAAGAAATTAATGTATATTTGTGAAAATAGATGTTGCCAAATATTAAAATTGTTAAGAGTATGAAAATGTTATAAAATAATGTAATGAGAAAAAAACAAACAGCCTGGTCCAAAACTAGAAAAAGAGTGCAGCAACAAATGAGGAGTACAAACAGTAATTTCATACAATCAAACTAAAACACAAAAGGGGTGTATATAGGTAATATAGGGTTTTTTTTAAAAAAAAGGAAAGGAACTGGAATGGCCTAGGCCCATAGCCAAAATCTGGTTATTTTTATTATATATTTTTTGTTACTTATTATTTCCTATTTTATTCTCTATTTCTAAAACATGATTTTTTTTTAAAAGAAAAAAAACCAGAAACCTCTTCGCCTTCGTGAACATCACCATGCCAGGCCTGGTCTCGCCCAAACCCCTGCCATTCTGCGTCGGCCCAATCCAGAGCCACCGTCGGCGTCACCGTTCGTCACCGGTAACCACGTCGGCAGCGACATCCTGTTTCCCCTCTTTTCAAGCCGCGAAAATCTAACCCCAGGTCTTCTCGCGACGCATGTCCACTTTCCGATCAAACCACCGCAGGCTATGTCCCCGTCGCTTTTAATGGCAACCTCTTAGTGTGCCACCGGTGACAGCATCGCCCTTTCTCCTCCTCTGTCGCACGTTCACCATCTCAAGACGTCACTGCGAATCGGAGCGCCTCCATTGAAGAATGGAGAATGGTTCAGGCCACGCCGCCGTGGGAGACTGGAGAGTGGCACAAGCCACCGAGGAAAGCATTACTTCTATTCCTCTTTTAACTGCTCCTGCTGCCACTAACTCACTGCTGATGTTACTACGGCGCTACCGGAGCCCTCACCGTCATCGTCGGCATCTCGTCACCGTGGCTACCAACGCTGCTCGCTAGAAGCCTTCAATTCGCCATTTCTCTCACCGCGACACCATCCCTATTATGTTTTCTCCTCTTTTTAGTTTAATTTTTTGTTTCTATTTCAATTGTGTTGATCTGCTATTTTATGAGATTATGCTATGTGTTGAGAAAAAATGTTATGAAACAGAAAAAGGAAAATTATGAATTTTGGTTTGGGACGAATTGAGAAGGATATCATTCTCACTACATAAGGTTTTTATTTTTTTTTTCTTCAATTGAATTGAAACTCTAAAACCATAGTAGCAATTATTATGTTTAGTTCCAACTGGATTTGTATCCTTTGTGATTTTGTAATGCTATTTTCACCTTATATATCTTAATTATTGATATGTTCGTGTCTTATTTTTCTTTTAAATCTCATTGTATAGTATGATATCTAAAGCGAGCGATTGTTCGTTACAACCAATTCATGGATCGCTCTATTCATTATAGAGACGATCCAACATCTTCCAACTATGCGACATCTTCCAAACGCTCGTCAACTATCCTATAGTTGAAAGTGCTCGTCAAACCTCCATAAGCAGGACAACATTATGACACTCAGTCAACCAAATCAGGTCAAGATCAGCACACTCAATTACATTAAACGAGGCAACGGACGCTCAACACTTAAGTAATTAGATCAACAATCCAGTTAAAGAATAAGTAGTCAAAAATATCTAACCGTAATAACGCATATTACGGAGCCAACTAATCAAATATCAAGACTAACGTGGATTGCGGATAGGTAACCGAATTAACCAACTAACCGGATTTTACACAGTTTACTTTGTGAGAAAATCACTAATTGAGAAAAAATCACTAATTGAGAGAACTAAAGTTCTAATACTCATATCTGACTTTAGCATCGGAGTATCTTCGCAAGTACCCCTCACTCTCATTGAAAAAAAGACAACAATCCCCAATGCACAGGAGTAATAAAGCATCATCAACTAGATTCGTATCTCAGTACAAACAATCACATTAAAACACCCATAATTTCTGGATTTATTATGCATATGTGAAGTGGCACAGGAATGTCGTCGTAAAACCGAATCAGTAATGCAGTACAAGAAGAAATAAAAGACTCAGAGGAGCATGAGAAGAATAGAGCAATAAACTAATAGCAAAATGCATTCAACCACTTAGAAGATCAACTATAGCATGGCAAAGAAGATCATATGATTCGTTATAACATATTTATGAAGCGCGTAATTGATTGTTTCTCCTTCTCTCTTATGTTCTTGCTCCTCTTCAATTCAAAAAAATCTTGATCTCTCAATTGCTCTGTTACGAAATAAATGATTGGAGAGAATTTTTTTAAGTGATGTGCGAAAAAAAAATGTGGGAGAAGATTTTTTAGGTGGGGTGGGATACAAAAAAAAAGACAAGGGTTTGAAAGAAAAAGGGCATGGCTTAGTATCCTAAAAAAATATAAAATGGAAAGATTAGGGCATTTAATAAAAACTTATTAGTTTATAAAAGAAACAAACTCGTTTTTTTATTAAACCTTTATGATTTTCTCTCTTTTTCTCTTTCTTTTTCTTTTATAATCTTATTTCATTAGTTATTACATTTTTCACTTTTCTAATTTCGTCTTATTATTTTTTTTTTATATATATATATATATATATATATATATATATATATATATATATATATTAGTATAGTTTTTTATTGTTATAGAATTTTATGTGAAAGATATTTTTTAGTAAATTCTAATTAAGTTTCTCTCTAATTAGACATATATTTCATATATTTTAATTTTTATTTTTTTTATTGATATATATAAACACCTTTATTTTTCAAAAAAAGAAATTTCATTTACCGACACAAAAATATCATTTTGTTGCACTTTTGCATTAAATGCTCAAGTTTAACACCCTTCACTTTAAGCGATAAACTGTAAATCAATTATTATCACAGAAATTGGTTTGCCTTATCACTTAAATAGAGCTATAAGTCTGCGAACTGTAGAAATCATGGGTGTAATGCAAGTAGGGTTTTTTTTTCATGTTTCTTATTTTCTTTGATATATTAAAAAGGTGGAAAAAAAACACAAACTTTAGTTAAACCAGAACGCCACCGCCCCCAATCAAAACAAGCCTTATTTCAAACCAAATTGGATTCATATCACAGAATCCAAGAGGCCGTATAGCGCTCCTACACGTCCCACCCAACCAAACAGAAGTTCTACAAAATGAAGAAAACAACTCTTCTTCTACATATAGATGTAAACCTAGCACAAAAAATCCAAAAAAAAAAAAAACAAGCCGCTTCATAAAACAGTTTCACCTTTCCCACGCTCTCCTTGGATCATCACAACAACAAACTTAGTACCTGTAGGGAGCAGGCTTGTATGGACCCTCAACAGGCACATTGATGTAATCAGCCTGAGACTTGGTGAGCTTGGTGAGCTTAGCTCCAAGTTTGCCAAGGTGAAGTGCAGCCACCTTCTCATCAAGGTGCTTGGGCAAAACATAAACCTCCTTCTTATACTTCCCAGTGCTCTTCTCCTTCCACAACTCAAGCTGGGCAATGACCTGGTTGGTGAAGGAGCAAGACATCACAAAACTGGGGTGTCCTGTAGCACATCCTAAGTTCATCAAACGTCCCTCGGCCAAGACAATGATGCCGGTGTTGGTCTCAGGGAAGACCCACCTGTCAGTCTGGGGCTTGATTGTGATGCGCTTCACACCTGGGTAGGTCTCCAGCCCCAGCATGTCGATCTCATTGTCAAAGTGACCAATGTTGCAAACAATGGCATTGTTCTTCATTTTCCTCATGTGGTCAACCATAATGATGTCCTTGTTACCTGTTGTGGTAACGAAGATATCAGCCTCGGATACAACATCCTCCAAGGTCAAAACCTGAAGGCCTTCCATGAGAGCCTGGAGGGCACAGATGGGATCAATCTCAGTCACAATGACACGAGCACCAGCCTGCTTCAACGCAGCAGCACAACCCTTGCCAACATCACCATATCCAGCCACGACAGCCACCTTCCCCGCAATCATAACATCAGTAGTCCTCATCAGACCATCGGGCAGAGAATGACGGCACCCATACAAGTTGTCAAACTGTCACAACCCACAGATCAAAAGGTTAAACAAAAAATAACAACAAAAGCCAATTACTATCAGCTAGAAAGCCAATGACCAACCTCTTGCTTTCAAAAATCATACAACAACTGATAAAAAAACAGTGACATTCGGATTTTGAATGATATGGCATATAATTGGACTCAAAAGCTAGTTAACAGTGAAATTCCACCTAGAGCTGTTTCAAATCAATTCCTAGATACCAATCCAAACTTTTTTCAGAACATTAATCAATCGGTTAACAGATTAAAAAATTTCATTTCACCAATGCCACAAATCCCATTAAAACCGACAGATCTGAATCGAGCTCAACATTAGTTAATCAGTTAACAGATTCAAGAATCCACTACACCAATGCCACAAATCCATTAAAACAGACAGATCTGAATCGAGCTCAACGTCTAAACACTCGAAAAGTAACAGATCTGAAAGAAAACAAACAATACCTTGCTCTTGGTGACAGAGTCATTGACATTAATAGCAGGGAACAGAAGAGTCCCACTGGCCTGCATCGGAGACAGCCTCTTCACACCAGTGGTAGTTCTCTCTCAGAAACACCAACAATACGCTCCTTCATCTTGCGGTACCTGGTGGGGTCGGTCTTCAACCCATCTCTAATGATGGTAAGCACGATCTGGAACTCAGCGTTGTCAGTGGAAGCGGGGTCGGGGAGCGCGCCGGTTTTCTCATAGAGCTCCTCGGCCTTGACACCCTCGTGGATGAGGAGGGTGGCGTCACCACCGTCGTCGATGATGAGGTCAGGACCGCCGCCGGGGCCCCAGTCAAGGGCGCGCTCGGTGCACCACCAGTACTCCTGGAGGGTCTCTCCCTTCCAGGCGAACACAGCAGCGCTGTCGCGAGCGATAGCAGCGGCGGCGTGGTCCTGCGTGGAGAAGATGTTTGCAGGAGCACCAGCGACCTCGGCGCCAAGGGCGGTGAGGGTCCTCAATCACACGGCGGCTGGATGGTCATTGGAGGGAAGCCGGTGATGGCGGGCCCTATGTAAGGGCTGTGATGGGCCGTACACTCAGTGCCGCAGGATATGAGGCCCCGGATACTCCACCTACCGCGAGGCTCGATCTCCAGGCGGCCGAAGGTCCGCCTGGGAAAGGTCCTTGACCTTGTCTCGCGCCGCTTGTGTTTCTCGACCAACGCTAGACATGTTGCGCGAGCAGCAAGAGAAGAAGAGGAGTGGGGGTTTAGAGAGAATGAGTGCTTGAGTGACGAATGGGAGACGCTGGAGTGTGGGTATAAATAAGGCCGAGAAGGGAGTTTGGTGAGTGGACACCAGATCTGCTTTTTTTTTCTTCCTTACTTACTTCCTCCTATCCTAAGTTTAGGTTAATTTGTTCAACTTACTCGTGACCTTCCCGGTGTTCTTTACCTCGTTTTCCTGTTCTTCAGCGTTTGCATTTTATTGTATATACATATGGAAACTGAATTAATTTACTACAGATATATTTGTCGCATCGCATCGCCCTGATCGTCCGTTATATTGGAGAACTTAATTATATTTATAGTAAACTAATTCACTTTTCGTGGATATAATATTACACACACGTAAAGATACTGATTTATTAATTCTTTCATGATTCAGTTAGATAATGTTTTCAAGCTGTACACAAATTGAAAACTTAGTGCGACATAAATAATGTTGATCAGTTGAAAACACGTATTCTGTTTAAAGTGTACAGTGTGTTAAATATAGAAAAATAAATAATTTTATACAATGTAACATTTAATTTCTCCAAACTTATTTTTTGCATTGGTTAAATTTAGTGGCTAGAAAATACTGAAAATAAGTGGTTGGCCATGGTTTTGTTTATCTCTTTCCCTTTTTATTCATTCAAGTTATAATTTGCATATTGGGCATTGTAGTGTTGTTGGCAAATACTGCTCACCACAACTGAAAGGTGAAATATGTGGCACGTGCTAATAGGTGATGCCAAGAGTTGAGTTCGTTACTGGATTGTTTTCATTATGCTGACATCACTTTAATCACATACTCTCCATATCACATTCATCCAGAAACAAAAAATCACGCGGATCATCCATCTGAAACTATCTAATATTGATGGACGATGTAGAATGTTAGATAATAGTTTTAGACAAACCTATTGATATAATGATAGACTGTTTTTTACTATATTTATTTTTCGATAAACATTTCATTCATATGATATGATACTTTTAAAGATTTCGTCTTAATGGTTTTAGAGCTTATGGTTTTGTTATATTATGTATCTGATTAACTATTTTTCTTTTAATACTGATTGAATTTTTCTAATAAGACAATTTGTTATTGACTATTTAAACTACTTTTAAAAAAGATTAAATTCAATAATAAAAAAGGTACTAAATTAATATTTAAGTCTTAAAATGAAGAAAAAATTAAGTGAGAAAAAGTAGAAAATTATTTCCAAAATATATTAGATTAAAAATAAGAAAAATAATTTTTTATATAGAATAAACTTTAAACCAGGATGCTTTAATATTAATAATAAAAGAAATGTTTTAATTTCTAATAAATACACAAAAGATTAAAATCTAATAAAACAAAATAATTTTTATTTATTTCTCTAAACTATTTTTCTCCCCACATTGAATTTTGTCTACATTCATCCGAAGGAAAAACAAAAAAATCGTTTTAACACCTTTCATTTGATCTTTCACACGTCGTGTCTTCCAACAATGGCCATACACATGATTTTTAATTTTTACATCCAACCTATTTTTATTCCACGGCTATTAACACATCTCTACACTCCTTTTGACACCTCCGCCCTAAAATCCCATTTCTACTACAACAGAACTCCATTTTCATTTTCTTAAAATTCTTCCAATCCTCAGCCCAGTGATCTCCACCGACACCCAACAATAACCTTAAGAGTCTCTGGTTACACGTGCCTCTTTTCTTCCATGACACTCTGACCTACCTTCAACCTTCTCTATCACTTTCGTCTTCCTTCAACCATCTTCTCCACTTCATATACAGGGGTACAGAGGACAGCCATGTTTTTTTCTCCAATTCTCTCTTCCTCTTCTCCACTCACCCATCGCAGAGAGAGACGACCACCATCAAACACAAACAATATATCTCAAATATTCAGACCCGCCATTATCTTCACCAATTGAACCCACCATCTCCATTTTTCTTCGCCACCCTTCCTGTAACCTAAATCCTCTGTCTTCCCAATAATTATTTCACTTTTCATAGTATAATATTAGAGATGAATATGTTTTTTTACCATGTCTTTTATTACAAATTATAAATATTTTTTCTTTTACCAATTTAATCTTTCAATTTTAAAAACATATATAAATTTACTTTTTTAAATCATTCTTTTTTAAATTTATTTAACATTTTAAATAAATGATATTTGAATAATAACAACATTTAAATTGTTTATAACATTCAACACATTTTTACTTTAACATTAATTAATATCAAAAAAATATTGAACATAAATCTATTTTTATATTAATTTATATTAAATAAAGTTAACAAAATATACTTAAAAAATTAAATTCATATAATTTTAAAAAATAAATTAGTTAAATATTTAAAAAAAAACTAATTTTAATTTTAATTTTAAATTAAAAAATTAAAAATATATTTAACTCTGTAATATTATATATATATATATATATATATATATATATATATAAATACTAAATAACTTATTATAATTTTTGTCAATTCTTTAACCTGATAATGTTTTCAAAGCTTTTCGATAAATTGAAATTTCATTTCATACACATAAAAAGTGGATATTTTTCAGGATGTACTAAAATATAAATAAATTTATTACTTTGCTATTGCTAATCAGATAACTGGTTTTTTCTTCTTTTATATTGACATCATGTGCACAGATATCAAATGAGTGGGAACCGTGGTTCACGGTTAGTTTTAACAACCAGGTTCTCTCAGATGTTATGTTTTGTAGGATTGATACGAAAAAAATGTATAGTATTTCAAGGAAATAAATATTACTTCGTAAGTTAATTTTGTAAGTTAAATTCATTTTTTAATATAAAAGTCTTTTTAAATTTATTATTAATTATAAATTATTTATTTATTTATTTTAATAATCTTAATTTTTACTTTTCTTTCATTTTTATTCTTTTCTCATTGGAAAAAACATATAGAAAGAAAAAAAATGTTTAGTTATAAGTTACTTTCTCGGAAGAGTAAGAGAACGTTATTTTCTTTTTTGTCTCTTGTTCAATATTTACGCTTGGTAGATAAATTGTTTGGTTGGATTAGTTCACGCGAGTCAATCACACATAATAAAAGGTAGACTACATATTTTAAAATTAAAGTTTGTCAATTCTCAATTCTCAAGTATATGGTAGATGTCAATTCTCAAGTTATTGCTCTTTTTTTTTATTTTATATCAATTTTCAATGCTCTGGCATTTGCTTCTTATTTTTTTGTTATTAAAGTTGTACTACGTGTTGAAAACTAAATCATTTATTTATTTTTACATAAATGTCTGAGTATTTATTTTTAAAAATGTATAGTAATTTTTTTATAAGAAATAATTTTATTGACCTGATTTGATCACGACAGCAATCGAAAAAGAATGTTTTGTGTAGACGTTGAATCAAGAAAAACATTGCTAATTTGTAAGTTGGTGCTAGACTTCCAACTTTGCATCCCATATAAGTCCTATTTTTATTGATAATTTAATCTGTCTTTAATACAGTATATTAAAATGAATTCATATTTATTAAGAAAACAATTATTTATTCAAATATTTCATCTTTAAATAATTTTAATACGTTTAGAAATTGTCCTTAATGTATAAGTAGAGAGGTAGCGAAGGTTTAATTTTTTTAAAACTATACTCTTTTCTTCACTATTCACAGTAGAAAGAAAAGAGTTAATTCATAGTATTTGTTATTTGTGGTCTAAAATAATTAACTTTATTTTGTTAACAAAAATAATTAAAAATTGTTTTATAAAAAAAATTAAAACAATATCTTATATTTAGGGACTGAAGAAGAGTAGAGTGTAAAAATCTGTATTGTTCTCTTATTCTCTCCACTTGAAAATGAAAGTGTCGCCAAAGTTACACGATTCGGGGGCCTCTGTAGGCAATTTGTCCTCTTGTTCTGTTGTGGTCATAAACTTAATGGGCTCCAGCCCATTGGACCTACGTTGGGCACAGATTTCTGACTACCCAAAATTGTGAGCAAATTAGAATCATTTTAGAGTGTTTCATCCTACACCTCTAAGATCTCATCCTGCACCTCAAAAAATTCCAATTTTATTCTTCTGACATCTCATCATCATCCTGCACCTCCAACTTTTCCAAAACTTTATTTTTAACTTTAATAAATATTTTTTCATTTTCTTTTCTTTTTATAAAACAATCTTCACCTATACCTTAACCATAATTTAATTTAATGTAGTTAAATTTAAAATATTATTAAAATAATTTGTATTTTAATAATTATTAAAATATAATTTTATATTATATAATCGTGTCTCTTCCCCCCTCCACCTCCCTATCCCCCTCGTCCTCCTCCTCCTCCTCCTCCCCCCCCCCCCCCCCTTTCCCTTTGCTTTCCTCTCTTCCCCCTCTTCCCTTCTCTCCCCATCTTCCCCTCCATTCCCTCCTTTCCTTCCCTTTTCCCTCCCCTCCCCTTTTCCACCCGCTCTCTTTCTCCTTCCCCTCTCTCCCCTCTGTTCCTCCTTTCTTTTTCTTTCCCCTTTCCTCCCTATTCCCTTCCCTCCCCCTTCTCCTCTTCTTTCTTCTTTTTTTCTCTTTTCCTCCTTCCTCCCCTCTCCTTTTCTCTTTTCCCCTAGTTCTCTTCCGCCCCTTCCCCCCTCCTCTTCCCCTCCGCTCCCCCTCCCCCTCCCCCTCTCCCTCCCCTCTTTTCCTCCTCTTTCCCTCTCTTCCCTTCTCTTCCCCTCTTCCCTTTCCTTTAATCCTTCTCACCTTTTAGCAACCCAAATTTGAAAATTTGGTTCCCGATCTCCGCCTTACCGATAAGTTATAAAATCGGATCTCTCAAATCCGCACCTAATATTTTTACCTTTTCTTTATCCTATAAATTTTACTCATTCTTTAATTCATTTCATCTTTTCCCTATTTTGACTCACTATGTCCCTCTTTTCTTTCCTCTCCCTTTTCCTTTCTTCTTTGACTCCTCTTGTTTTCCCCTTTTGTTCTTCTTTCCCTTTTCATACTTCTTTCCTTTCCTTTCTCTTTTCCTCTACTTACTCTATTTGCCTATCTCCCTCTTATTCTTCTCTC